AACCCTCAAACCAACATCCTTCCTCATTTAGATGCAGCCGAAACCAGAAAAAAAGAAAGAAAACAACACTACAGTGTATTTTGAACGCCAAAGACTAAATAAGCTGTCATTCTGCTACCACATAGTTAGAAAACCAGCCCCCTTTAGTATTTATTAAAAATAATATGTTGTGAGGAGCAGTGCTCCCTCTAAGCTGTGGATTCTTATGAGCAAAAATTCTACTTTGCGAGCTGCTGGCATTAAAGTTGTGAGCGAGCAATTTGGCTGCTGCATAAATTAATTTGCCCAGGAGCCCTCCTTCCTGAGCTCAGACAAAAATGTGTGAGGTGGAGGCTAAAAAACTGTGAGCTAGCTCACACTAACTCAGCTTAGAGGGAACACTGGTGAGGGGTGCTGTAATCTATGTAACGAAGATTGCAACACGGGAGGCAGGAACTACAAAAGAAGAGGTTGAGTTGGTTATTATTTCCTTGGTAGTCTGGGAGACCCAGGTTCAAATCCCTGCTCTGCCAATAGATGCTCACTAGGTGACTTTGAGCCAGTCACACTCTCAGCCTAATCTACCTCACAGGGTTATTGTGAGGAGAATGATGTTAGTATTGGGTGCCCACTGGTGAGAAAGCCGAAGTACATAAAATGAATGAATGAAACAGCTGTTGGTCAAACAGTGCTGTAGTTATCACAGCATTCTGCTGAGGTAAAGGCTACCTTTCTCAGAGAAACACTGCTACAGAAAGGCATGTACTCAATTTAACTAAATATCTTCAGAGCTTCCAGTCACCTCCAGCTTCGTCTGACAGAACCTGAAATGCCACATGGCAGAACCAATGTTAAGAGGTGATCAAACTAGCCAGACCCTCCAGTCGCAGCAATACCAGGGTAATCCGTCTATTTCTCCTTGAAGACAGACTCCCTCCCTTCCAATTAAGATTGGTTGTCTTCAGTGAAAGTAGATGTTTAACCGGACTTCCGGTTTATGGCGACATGCAGGCAGACATCTCCCAGACGTCCCGGGGATGTAAACTGCACACCAGCGTGTGGGAGGGGGTCCAACGGGTTGTGACCCCCCCCCCGGAGCCTTGGTAAAAGGCTCCCAGCCAGGGGGCTTTTGAGGGGTGGCCTCTTCGATGGCCGAAAGCCAGAGAATTGAGGCGCCCCTCCGCCCTGAAGGTCCTGCTGCTGAGTGACCGCATGGTACAAGTGCTGCTGACCGGGACAAGCGTTGGAGATCGGGCAAAATAAATGATGACGAGCGAGGCCGAATGGCCAATAATGAACTGTGAGTTGGGTTGAAGCGAGCATGAAGATATAAAAAGAAGCTGCCCCCGCTAAAGAGCGACAGGAAAGCAAGCGGGGGAGGGATCCCTCCCAAACGCATCGATGAAACACGGAAGGAAAGGGGGGAGCAGAAAAATAAGTGACTAAAACTGTTTTAAGAGACTTACCAGAGTGCAGAAAAGCATTTGGGCGAATATCAGAAACTTTAGCAACTTCTTTGAAAAGTAAACAACTCCTAAAAGATGGCGGGGAAGAAACCGGAGAAAGAGAAGCTGTTGAAATCGAAACTAGGGGCTAGTCCTCAAACGGATGAGGTCACTGAGCTCTCAAAACTCTTAGCTGACTCCCTGCGCCCCCTGCTGGATGAGATCACTGGCATTAAACAAGAACTGTCAGTAATTAGGCAGAGTCTCGCAGCTCAGCAGATGCAACTGACTCAATCCTTAAAAGCAACAGAGCAAATGGGAGAGAAGGTGAAGGAAATGGACGTCACTACTAAAAAAGTTAAGAAAAAGGTGCAAAATCTGGAAATGAAGCAAGCTACAGAAGAGACAAAACTCTTACAGCTACAAATGGATAAAGCAAATTTGGTCCTTCGGTTCCAAGGGGTCCCAGAATTTAGAGGAGAGAATCTGAAGCAACGGTTGAGAGAAGCAATAGCCCCAATGACAGATTTAACAGCGGAGTATCTTTGCAGCGAGAGGGATGTGGTCTACAGATCTTATACATCATACATCAAGAAAAATAATCTGCCTGGGGAAATAGTGGTCAGATTCTCGAAGAGAAATGTGAGAGATCCTATTCTGAAAGCAACTTCGGGAACACCCTTGAAAATTGGGGACAATAATATCAGGATTTTAAAAGACATTCCATTTGATATAAGACAGAGGAGAAAGAACTATAAAGAATTAATCCTTTTCTTACAAACAAATTCTATCAGTTACAGATGGGTAATCCCAGAAGGCGTCGTTTTCAAGCTCCACGATAAAAAAGAAAAGATTTACTCTGACAAAAAAGGGCTGAAGGACTCTGATGTGTGTCTGAAAAAAAATGTTGAAATAACTTGGGGATGCTCTGGGGATCTCTTTAAACAGTTAAAGGGATGGTTAATAATAATCTAGCATAACCGACTAAATTCATTGTAGTATTGATTGTTTTTTGAAAATAGCATGATGATAAACTGAGATATTGATCTCCTACTCTTGGGTTTTTAGTTAGTTGTGGGTTTCTTTTCTGTTTCCCCTAGCTGTAGTTCCCTTCCCTATATTTTCTGTTGTAGTTTTGTAGTCTGCAAAAAAAGAACAATAAAAACCTCCCCCCAGGGGATTGGGGGAAAAAAAGTAGATGTTTAACCCATCTGCTCTCCGGTGAGCCAGACCTCCAGACCCACAGGTCCCCTCCATGGTCAGACTCAGACCCTAAATGACCACTGTTGTGACTGACAGCTCCAATCCTTTCTTTCCCTTCCACTGCCCATGCAAAACCGGGTGACAGGGGACCAGCACAGGACACAAAGGGTAGGACAGCCACCTATCTGTCACATGCCCCACATGTGGAATGCCACAGAATGTCACATATGGAATGCCACAGAACTTGGAAAGAAAATTGTAGGCTTCAGGCTACTGATTTCAAAATTGAAGGAAAAAATGTTGCCACAGACTGGTCTCAGTCACTTCTCAGATGAAGCTCTTTTGAAAAAAGGGAGAAGGAAGGTCGACATGCCCTGTCAGAACAGAAATTATACGGCTGTGCCTCCTAAAAAGAGAATGCTAATTATACGGCCGTGCCTTCCATCAGGCAATGTGGGAGTTAAAACTGTTGGGACTTTATTTTGGAATTGTGTGCCTAGGCACAAGATAGTGACCTGTGTCTCCTTGTAATGTTTTTGTATGAAGAAAGATATATTTTTGAATAATAATTCATGTCTTGCACAGCACTTGGATTGGGTCCTTTTTAGTGAGCTATCTTAAGTGCTTGTCTATTTGTGGTTGTCTTCCACCTGCAATGCGTGTATTTCCCTGCATTCATTTTAGGGGGGGGGGGTCTAACAGACTCCCTTTAATTACATTTTAGTCCTATATAAATAAAACCCTCCAATTTAAAAGGGAACAGTGAGTGGAGGGGGAGGCTGAATTACCACAAAACAAGCAGCCCCTTTTATTACAAGAAAACATGTGAAGTGGCGCAGGTAAAGGAGAAACTGCTACCTAGCTTGTACCCTTGGAGGACAAAGATTGGGGCGGGGGGACTAATACTGATTTTTTTAAAAGTACTATTTTGGGGTTCTGTAAGGACACATAAGTCTTTTCTCTGAGTGAGCTGTTCGTGTTCAAAATAGACCGGTCTGTGAGGCCCACAGAACTCTCACCACAGAGGATCACAGCAGCCATTTTGTGATTCATTGCCTGGTTCAAGGCAAAGGCAGCCATCTTTACACCAATCAGTGGTACGGAACGTCCCACACAGAGGCAGATCTATGGAAAGCTCACTAAAAGTCCAGGACACGACAGAGAAACGAGGAATATTTCTGGTGACAAACTCTGGTTTGATCAGAAACAAGCTTCCCTGTGGTGAAAATTAACGGAAAGAAACTCTCTGGCGGCCCAGCCGGCTGCTTGGCCCTCCGAGTGAGGGCCAGCCATCAACCCCAATGGTGGTTGAGAGGCTGTCGTCTCTGCCACCAAACTGAGCTCCAGACTTCAGGGTTGTTCCTCAGTCAGCAATACTATTCTAGTTGGCAGGCCTGTTCCTGAGCAGATGAGGGAATAAATCATTGTGCAGGCATTAACCCCAACGGCCATCTGACACACTCCTGACAAGAAGACTTCCCCACCCATTCTGTGCTATTCAACCTTTTGCACTCTTCCTTTATTCTAGAATGGGTCTGGAACCCATAAGGAAAGTCACACGGGCTGACCAAGGGTTCTTGAGAAAAGATCACTTTCATTTGGGAAAAATTGGGGGATGGGGTGGGAAAGGAATGTGAGGCTAACATTTTGGCTGGGTAACAAAGTGGTAACTTTAAGGCCCAACAAGGTTTTATTCAAGGTATGTGTGTGGAGGCCCACTTCCTCAGATAGATACATTGAAATGGAAGTTAACAGCATCTAAGTGTGTTAACTTAGTGTGTGTGCAGACAAAGGCTCATTCCTTGAATCCAACTTTGCTGGTCTCCAAGGTGCCGCTGGACTCAAACGCTTTTCTGCTGGTCAGACCATCTGGATCTAGCGTTTTGGCTGTGGTTGCTCTTTGCCGACTTTTTAAAAAGTCACCAAAGTGCAAAACATTTTTTCAGACTTAAAAATAAACACAGAAGCCACTGCTGGCTCCAGTCGGGCAGTTTCCCAGGGGAAAAGGGGGGCCTCCATAAAGCTGCAGTCCAACCCGGTGAAACCTTTCCGCTTGGCTTCCAAGACAGGGGCAGGGGGAGAGTAGAAAGGAGACGCGACCCCGCTCGGGAACTCCGCTGGCTACGCGCGATCCAGCCGCAACGAAGCATTTCGCGATCGCGTGGGTCCCAATAGGAGCGCGCGCGCTTTCCTTCCCCATTAAAACCATGGCAGCCCATTCCCCGGTGGTTGGGGCGCCCCCCCTCCCGTCTGATATCCCCCCCCCCCCCCGCCGTCGTTTCACTGAAGCCTTTTGCAGGGAAAAGGGAGCGAGCCGCCCCGTCCGGGGCTCCTTCGAGGACTCCCCCTCCCCTTTGCCCGACCGGCTCTTACCTGACCCGGCACCTGCCCAGGAGGTTGAGCTTGCAGAGATGGAGGCGCTCGCAGCCGGGGCACTCCTTCTGGGGGCAGAGGCGCACGGCGGAGACGGCCAGGACGAGGCGCGAGGAGGCGTCGCCCGCGCCCCCCGGGGCCCTGGCCAGCAGGAAGCGCTCGGGCGCGCCCACCTCCAGGATCTGGCGCAGCTGCTGCTCCGAGAGGCCGGCGACGTAGCTGGAGAGCTGGGCGCAATCCAGGCGGCCCCCGTGGCTGCACACCACCTTGGACAGGAAAGCGCACACGGCCGGGTCCGACATCGCTGCGTCGAAGGACTAGCCGGCGAGAAACGAAACCGAAGGCGGGCGGGCGGGCGCGGCAGGGAGGCGAGCTGGGGGCGGGGCTTGGCGGGGCCCCCGCGCCAATCAGCTCCGACCAAGGGGACCCAGGAGCCGGCCAGGAGGGGGCGGTGGGGTCCCTTGCTGGGACGGCCGAACAAGCCAGAGGCCGCCTCTCCGCCGGAGTTTTGCCTGCGCGCAAGTGGGCGCGCGTTGCGGGTCTCCCCTTCCCCGGGCCCCTGCTGCTAGGGCTGCAGTCATATGGTTGCCATCCTCCAGTCCAGCTGCGGGCTGGAGATCTCCCGGAATGGCAGCTGACCTCCAGACTACATAGGGATGCCAGCCTTGAGATGGGACCTGGGGACTCCCTGGAACTACTTCAGAGATCAGTTCCCCTGGAGACAAAGGGTGCTTTGCAGGGTGGGCTCTATGGCCTGCTAGAGCACCGAGGTCCCTGTCCTCCCTAGGTTTCATCCCTGAATCTTGCATGGCTTTCCCAGCCTGGATCTGGCTGGCGGCCAGGGGAGACCGGGCAACCCTATCATTTGTGTATTTAAAACGTTTATTCCACTTCAGCTGGAGAAAATGGTTCCCTTTGGAAGGTGGACTCCACAGCGTTATACCCTATCAAGGTAAAGGTAAAGGTTCCCTTTCTCGAAAGCCAGTCGAGTCCGACTCTAGGGTTGCCGTGCTCATCTCCGTTTCAAAGCCAAAGAGCCAGCGCTGTCCGAAGACGTTTCCGTGGTCGTGTGGCTGGCATGACTTAACACCAAGGCGCACGGAACACTCTTACCTTCCCACCGAAGTGGTACCTATTGATCTACTTGCAATTTCTTGCTTTCGAACTGCTAGGTTGGCAGGAGCTGGAACTAGAGACAGGAACTCACCCTGTCTTGCGGCACCCGGGTCTTGAACCGCTGAACTACTGACCTTCGACAGCCTATCAAGACCCCTCCCTAAATTCCAGGCTCCACCCCAAAATCTCCAGATATTTCCCAACAACCTGAGGTTGGCAACCCTGCTAGGTCCAGTGGCTGGATGAAGGTCTTCCTCCAGTGGGCATACCTAAGGAGGCACGGTCATCAGACAAAGAGCCAAGCACCTGCCCCAGGCGGCTTTCAACTGGAAAAAGGTCCTAAAATAAAATCATGAAAATAGCAACTAAAATGATCTTTAAGACAGCGTGAGAAGAAGATAAGAAGCACCCCACCATCAGACCAGTGGTCCACCGAGTTAATTATTGTACAGCAGTGGGTGTAGTATAGTCTTAAGATCTGAAGATTGCCTGGCAGCCTGAAACCCTAGCTCTTTTCGTGGTGAGCTAATTTTATTTTGGGGGCTGGGGGAAAAACTGTGACTGACCCAAGGTCACCCAGCTGGCTTCAAGTGGAGGAGTGGGGAATCGAACCCAGTTCCCCAGATTAGAGTCCACTGCTCTTAACCACTACACCAAACTGGTGGCAAGGGGCTTGGTGCAGGACATCTCCCACAGCAGGTAGAAGGCAGTGAAGAATAGCAGGGGGCCGGGCAAGAGGCTAGGCCACTTGAAGGAGACAGAGCAGGCAGACGTTTCTTTCTGTCCTCCTCTGTCTTTTCCCATGGGATGCTGAGCAGTTCCCACCTATTCTCCAACCTTTCCCCACTCCCAGCTTTTGTCAGCCACTACCATGACGTTACTAGTTGATGGATGGCCTCCCCCCCCGAATAATGTCACAGAAATGGAGACAGAGCTGAGACTGAGGTGCTGATGAGGAGAAAAGACCTTTTCTAGTCCAGCATCCTGTCTCATACAGTGGTCTGATCTGGGAGAACCAGGTTTGATTCCCTACTCTGCCACTTGCAGCTGCTGGATGACCTTGGGCAAGCCGTAGTTCTGTCAGAGCTGTTCTTGAAGCAGCAGTTTCTGTCAGAGCTCTCTCAGCCCCACCTACTTCACAGGATATCTGTAGTGGCGAGGGGAAGAGAGAGGAGTTTGTAAGCCACTCTGAGACTCCAAGTGAAGGGCGGGGTATAAATCCAATCTCCTCTTCTTCCTCTGGAGGGCCAACTACAGGGCACAGAGGCTGAGGCCTTCCCCTGATTTCATCTCTGCGCTCTGGGATTCAGAGGATTGGTGCCTCTGAATATGGAAATTCCCTTTAGTTACCCTGTCTAGTAGCCACTGATAGACCTATCAGTCTAATCCCCTTTTAAAGCTATTTAAGCCTGGGGCCATCACTACATCCCCTGGCAGAGAATTCCACACCCTGAGACGTTCTTTGTGTGGGCTGCCCTTTACAAAGCATCAGTGGGACGTCCACCAGCAAAATGAAAGAAAACCTTCTGTGTTAAAGGGGGGAAAGTTGACCCCAATGGCCACCAAACAAGTTTAATCTCATTTTTCTTAAACTGTTGTTACCTCTCAAGCACAGTTCCTGTGAGTAGTAGAAAAGAGCAAGAGTCCAGTGGCACCTTAAAGACTAACAACATTTGAGGCATGAGTCACTGCTCACTTCTCCAGATACAACTAGAATGTGAGTCCATCTGTGTGTCCATCTGTTCTGATATCTTGGAGAGTGAAGTGATTTCAGATGCCGAATGACAATAGCAGGTGTGACATGCAGAGAAGTAGTAGGAGTGGAGAAATCAGAATTGGTAATGAGACAGGAGACCTAGGTCTCCTTCAAGTCTAGCTGGATGGATTTGTCTTGAGCTTTTTTAGGAGTTACTATTAACTGCTCACTTCTTCAGTTCCTGTGAGGAGGTTCTAGGACAGTGGTGGCGAACCTATGGCACGGGTGCCAGAGGTGGCACTCAGAGCCCTCTCTGTGAGCACCTGTGCCATCGCCCCAGCCAGGCCCAGATCATCATTAAAGTGTCGAATTCTCTGCCAAATAATTTTAAGTACATGAAAGCATTTGGGATTGCTTTCCTTATTTTGTTTGGATCATCTTAAGTTAATGTATGAGTTGTTTTTTCTAAAGTAAAACCTCAGTATTCAGGTTAAATTGCCGTGTTGGCACGTTGCGATAAATAAGTGGGTTTTGGGTCGCAGTTTGGGCACTCGGTCTCTAAAAGGTTCGCCATCACTGTTCTAGGATCTCCCCATTTCCATCAAATATCCATGGAAGATAAATTTATGAATATCAAAATAAGCAAGTAAATATAATCCCGGGGAAGGTGACAGTAAATATCAAAATAACCAAGTAAAAGATAAATTTAAGGGAAAGAATGAGATCTTCTAGACCAGTGGTTCCCAACCTTTTTAGTATAGTGACCCACAAGTCCAAATTTATTTTCTTTTATTTTTTTAATTTTTAAAAAAAATTCAGAGAGAGAAAGAAAACAAAAACTGCACATCAAACAGACTAACATATAGCATATAGCAAATACGAAGCATGTACTCATAATGGCAGCTTACATTTTACATAAAGGAATCGTTCATTTCTGTACCTGTATCAGTTTCAAATAATAAAGGAAATAATTGGACGATAAAATTATGGTTCCTTGCAAATATTTATATAGCCATTTATATAGTCTTGACCAGCTTTTCTCAAAAATTTCTTCTTTTTTATCTTGAAGTTGTACAGTTGATTTGTCCATTTCTGCCGTTTCAAATAACTTGTAAATAATTTCTTCTTTTGATGGGACGTCTTCTTTCTTCCAGTATTTTGCATACAAGATTCTAGCCATAGTTATAACATGTATAGTTATATAAGCATCTGGTTTTTGAAGTGTTCTGGCATCATATCCAATAAAAACAATTTTGGTACAAATGGTATTTTTTGCAATATCTCATGTATCCAAATCCAATATTTTTTGTTATCATAAAAGACCACCACATATGATGATGGATCTTGGCCTAGCTAGTTCTAGGCCCCTAACAGCCTTAAAGCAAAGACCCCAAAAGAACAGAGGCTCTGGCCAAAGTTATTTACGATTGCTGTAAAAGCCAGAGGTTACTGATTTTTTTTTTTTGGTAAACAAATTTTTTTTCTCCGGAATTCAACAATAAAAATTTAAATCATTTCTTCTATCAAT